GTTGAAGGAAGTGGAATGCTTTGAGAATTTCAGAAAACAGTGAGATGCCATCACTGTGCACCATTCCCCTCACTTTAGGCACTGTTTATGTACATACACATCAGTTCACTGTGCATTGAGCTTAGTTTTAAAATGCAGTTCCTTGTCACGTTAGTTATACTTGTTTAATAGATATATTATAAACCAAAAGAAGCTTAAAATGAATGAAACTGAATTTAGAAGCAAATTGTCTTTTGAATTCTTTTGCTTAAATTTTATATTTGTTTATAGTATTGAGGTGATTTTGAGGAGAGATTTGGTTTGAAATATTGTGTGAAAAAAAAATTGTAGACATAAGAGAAGCATAGAATACCCAAATTGACGTTGAAGGGGTTTGGTCCTTTGACATTACAGAAACAGAGCTGACGTGTCTACTTAAGCTGGAATACTTGCTATTTCATGGTATTGTTTCTAGTTCCTATGATACAATTTTTTTTTTTTTTGCCAGAACTTATCTTTGGAGCTGGTACTCCACAGTAACATTGTGGCAGTAGTACAGTCAGGATAGCAGTTTACGTAGTTGCAATAAATTGAAAAGGATGGAAAAGAAATTGGTGGGGGGGGGGGAAGAGTAGAGATTATGTTAGACAGAGAGGCAAAAAAAAACAGACACAGAAGCACAAAGAGAGAGGAAAGGAAGAAGGGATGATAGAAAGAACTTTATTTATGTTACTGTCATCAATTGTACTTATACAAAACTGATACAAAATATCTTAATAAGTAAAGAGAATAGAACCTTCCAGCTTAGAGAAGAATGTTTTATGTAGGATGATCCTGTGTTACTTGTAATTTGTTTTCCCAGTTTGACATTAGGTAACAAGGCTTATATCCTCATGAATATTCTCAACTTATTGAGTATGCTATATTACGTAGTGAGAGAGGTAAATGTAGTACAGAAAACTAGTTTTATCATCGAAGAAAGCATGACAGCTAGTATGAAAGTAGGCCACTGTCATATGCTGGAGGAATGATCACATGATAGCTGCTATGTGGTTACAGAGGTTATAGCTATAGTGCAGTTTGATTGTAACAGTAGAGCTGACTCAGGCAGCAGACAGGCAGCATGTTCACAGTTGTGCAACACCAGCAAACAGAACTTCCAGTGCCTCACGAAGGTCAGGTTACCTCTCTTCTGGATTCAGATATTAGGTAATTAATTGTTTTGATCTAGATTCAGTGAGCATTATTTTCAGACTTTATGCATTTTAAATGCATGTGAGAATATAACTTAGAAGGTTATAATATGTGTTCATTAGATATCTTAACCTGGTATAGTATAAGACAAAGGTTCTCTCTGTAAATGAAATAATGCCTAGACAAATTTAATTGCCATTTCTTGACCTAAAAACAATACACAGACAAATCTGTTTTAAAAATTTAATGACAGGAAACTACTTGGTATATCATGGCATAGAATAAACCATACAAAGAAAACAGGTATTAGAAACTTGGTGTTCGACATGTGAGCTGAATCAGAATAAGTTCCCAAGGGTTGTTTGTGTGAATGAACATTAGACTTCCAACTACATGAATAGCCGAAAATAGTAGCAGTGGAACACCACAAGTTCAGGGAGTGACTTGATTTTAATCTAGTGACTTGTCCAATGGGGAATCACAAGTAAATTAATTCAGATGAGTGATTATTTGTAGTGAAGTGATTCAAATGAAATTATTAAAAAAAAAGGCTTGTGTCACATGTTGGTTTAAGTATTAGGTACACAAGTTAAGACATGTCAGTTACATGTAAAACCAAAGACTATTGTTATAAAATCAGCATTACTGTATAAGTATACTGTATAAGTAATAGAAAAAATGTTCTTATTATCTGAATGTGTTCTGCATTCAAAGAAGTGGATTCTCTTCTGCACACTAAGTACTAAAACTGAAAGTAAGGTATAGGCTAGATCTACGGTAAAACGTGTTAACAGTATGCTGTGATTGGTTGCCATAGAGGAGTGGTATGAAGTGTGACTGGACTGTATGACTGATGCTAGCATGCAGACAAAAACAGAGTAACTAACAGTTATGATGAGCTCATTGTGAAATGTGAGAAAGAAACTTTGTGTTAAATTATAAACATGGCAGATGTATGAAAGTTTGACCCTCTGACATGATCGTTTATTGGAAATCTATACTGCTGGAAATAGTTCCTAAAAATAAGTAATTAATTTGTTTCATTGCCTACTTGGTAGTTCGTGCTGGTCTGTCAGTACAGATGAAAACACGTAATAAAATTAGGCATCCTGGTTTCTTGCTGAAAGTTGTGTATCTGGATAATATTGGCCAATTAAGGGTGTTGCTTTACGTAATCTGCTGTGGTTCCATTCTTCAGTGAAACTTGATAATCATTCTGGAAAGTTTGGAAACATGGGTCAACACTGAGTTATAGGCCAAAATTGTTGGACATTTCTTTTAAATTTCCATTATATGAAAAAATTCTTTAAGCAGAAATTGATGTATTCTGTGTCATATTACATAATGATCCTTTCTTTAATACCATGGGCTAATGTTAAGAAGTTATGTAGTGCAATGAACATAACCATCTAGCAGGTGTGCACAAATGTATCAGTTCACATATGCTTGTAGATATCCTTTCAATACAGCAAAATCATCAGAAATGATCAAGTTCTTAAATATGCTCATATGGTTTCATATCTCACCAAAGTGATCAACTTATTCAGGATCTGTTAACTTAGTATGAGCACATAAATCGTTCCATTCACCTAATATTGTTACATAAATTAAACCTAGGAAGACGAGCTGGATGGGAAATGTAGGATGCATAAGAGAAATGAGAAATACATACAAAATTTTGATCAGGAAACTTGAATGAAAGAGACCACTGGAACACCTAGATTGAGGTGGAAAGACAATATTAAAATGAATTTTTACAGAACTAGGCTGTGAGTGGAATGAGTGGATTTGAGTGTCTCAGAATAGAGACAGTGGGCCCTTGTGAATACAATAATGAATCTCTGGCTTCCATAAAGTTGGATTTTTTTTGACCAGCTGAATGACTATAGACTTTTCAAGGGAGGTTCTCAGCCATAGAGGGACTCAGGAAGTATGATAGCCAATGTGTTTACTGTATTGTGACCAGGAAGAGCCAGGAAAGTGCAGTTAGTATAGCCACAGTGATGGGTTGGAGTTTGAGTCCTAGTAGGGGCAAGATTTTTCTCTTCTCCATTTTGTCCTGACCAGTTCTGGGGCCCACTAAACCTCCTGGCAGTAAAGCAGTTGGGGCGTGAAGCTGACCACTCACATCAAACTAGTGCCAAGATCAAGAATACGTGGATCTATATATCCACAACCCCATATGCCTTCATGGCATAGTGCAAAGCAAAGGGACAACTTTACCATTTTTGTTATTGTGACTATAGGGTGGGCAGTAAGCACTGTGGAACAGAAATGTAGAAGCATCAACAATTTTGTCATGAAGTTTCATATGGCTGGGTTAGATGTTTCATACATGAATTGAAAAATTAACAGCAACTTGTTGACATGCTTCAAGATATTCATGTGCATGTTATATCTCACTCTGATTTTCTGAATCTTTTGTCATATTTTGGTTAAAATTTGTATCAAAGTTCTTTTTTCCTAAAACTTTGTGTTGAAGTATGAATTTGTGTTTAAAAAATTATAACTGCCATTTTACTTCAAAACCTGTGTGAAATTTTTTGTTTAATACCTTAAATATTCAGTGGGCAGATTGGTGTAATGTAACACTCTAAACCTATTGGGAAGTCCACAGATTAAGTCTTGGCCATGCTACTAGTTATCCTGACTGAGGTTTTTCATGGTTTGCCTCAGTCTTTCCAAGTAAATGCTACCACCACCTTTCAAATTCATATCTATTTCGCAGCTGAAACATCAACACAAAGAAATACTTATTTGTGACAAAGTTTATAGAAATAAATGGGAAGAGTATTTAATATTTTCCATTTTTGATAGATTCATTAATTCCTGAGGAAGTTGGATACAATAATTATACCTTTTTCTGCTCTGTTTTCATAACTCTGCTGTTATTTCTTGTGTCTTTTCTATAGGATTTCTTTATTGTAAAATACCTACTTCTGTGTCATAGTCGGAATTCTGTACCAGTACATCACGTGTTGATATAATGATATTTATTATCATACAGTCCCCGGGGGAACAATGTCGTATAGTTTCATAGATAGGTACCACATATTGGAGTAACCTACTGCCTCCATCTTCAGGGTAGGAGAGTGAATTTCTACCCTCATGATGGAGTGGTTCCTCCAAAATATTGGTACTAATTTACCAAACTGCCAGATAACACATTACAGAGGACCATGATATTAATACTCGCTGCTGTGAAAACCTAATTCGATTTATTGTTGATCTTTTGTATTTGTGTGTTGGAAAATTGTCTCTCCTTTTTACCATAAAAAGTGTAAACGGAAAGCTTCCTATCCAGGATAAAACATTTGAAGGAAATTTTATTTACAAATTGGATACTGAAACAGTGATTTCATGTGCCCCTTCAGTGGCAACATATTTAACTTAAATTGAGTTCGCATCTAAGCTGGAGCTGGGGTGTACTGTGATTTTACTAGTCATTTGGAGTGAATGTTAGATTCATACTTTGTAATAGATACTAAGCATTTTGGATTAGTGGAAACACATTTGGCTTGAATTCATGAAGATATTCAGTTTCAGTCTTGGTGAAGAACTTGTCTTCTAGCAAGTGACTGAAAACTTCCCTCAGTTAGGCATCAGCACATTCCTTTACCATCCATAGACACTCTTTTGCAGTTCTCATTCAGCACTAAATACTCTTAATCTGTTGCTCAGTTAAAGTATACTGTCATTCTTTTCGTACATTACTCTTCATTCTATCATAGATAATCGTCCTAGTATATCATTTACATTAAAGTCTGTGAATGAAATAGTGGCATAAATACAGATATTCAGTCTTATTATATTATATTTTATTGCAGATATGAACGTCTGCTTCGCCGTGCCAAAACAGAAGATTTGTCAGAAGTATCTGGCATTGGGTGCCTCTACCAGAGTGGATATGATCGCTATGGGAGGCCTGTGATCGTATTTGTCGGAAAGTGGTTTCGCGTCAGGGAAGTTAGTCTTGACAAGGTAACAGTGTTATTAACATGGATCAGGTTTTAAAAGTACTCAAACCAATTGATATTTGGTTTTGTCCAATGAGAAGTTGAGGAAGTATTTCTAGTAAATATGCTTTACAATGTGGCATCAGTTTAGATGATTTGTTTTAGGCTTTTGTGGGGGGGGACTGTTTTTGTTTTTGTGACTTGTGGAAAAATGTTCTTGCTGTCTTGAAATTGTGGCTTTCATTATCAGTTTTACTGAAGGATAAACTGTTCAAATAGTCCCTGCACTGCCTTCTGTCGTGATTCCTGTTAAAAGAAGGGTAAGTGAGGGGGTGAACAACACTGCCACAGATCTCATTTAATGCATTTAAAAGAAAACGAGATTTGTTCTTTTGTGTTTTTCTTTTTTCTTAGATCAATGAATATGTGTTTGTTTCATATCATCTGTCTGTTTTCATGTAGTGCGGGAGCTTTGAATGCAGATACTTTGATTTAAATTAAAAATGTAAGACAAAATTAGTTACAAAATATAGTTTTGGTCCAAATTTGACAACTGAACTACTAATTTACACAAAGGCCTAAACACATTGTTTATGAGTATGTTTTCCTCACGTGGAATATGATTTCACAAAGATTGTAAGTACATGAGACATGCCTCTTTATTATGCAGTTTTTTATTTTTATCTTCCATGCTATTTCCTGTTATTTTCCTTGCCATTATTGTGTCACATATTTTGACCAAGGGACCCAACTGGGTAGGTGTCTCCTGCCCCCCCTCACCTGTTGACAAAAACAGATCCAGTTTTTGAAACGTCATGTTTTCTATTTTCTAGAATACTGGACGATGGAGGGTCTAAAAGCCCAGTAATTCTGTGTGTTATACACCATCATCAGAACCCTTTAGAATCTACTCTTCAGTTGTTTGAAAGTGGTTACTGATGAGCCATGCCTTCAGATTTTATAATGAGTCAGGATGGTTCAAGCAGTAAAATGATTGCAAATATTATGTTTCTGAACATCATCCATTGTCCTGCTTTTATTTAAAAACATAACGTTTTAGAGACTGGATTCTGTCTCATGTTTTCAGTTGAAACATACTCAGTTGGCCCCAATTGATAGAGCTAGGTCCCTATCTCTGGACAACAACACCAACCCCAGTTAGGGTACACAAGCCAAGCACAACACAAACCATCTGCGAGAGCTAAGACAAAGCATGAAAATATTAAAAACTTAACATGTATGAGGCCTTGCACCAGAGAACTATCGGAATAGAAATCATTACTGAAGAGACATTCTCTATATGTCACCAATATAGGAAACACAAATTTTCCCACTCATTCTACACTGGACAGAGTTGTAGTTTTTTACTTCTGTTGTGAAACAATGTTTTTGTTAATATACCATAGTCACAAATTTTTAGATCTTATTTACATAACTAGTAAATGACTGGCTATAGACTGTAATGTTATATTTTAGCGTCCTGTGAACGTGAATATAGACTAAGACTGAGGTTTTATTCCTGGCAGGGGCAGGGATTTTTATGTTTGCTCTCATGTCTATGCCACCTCTGAGCTCACCCAGCCTTAGTCTCTGACCTCAAAGCAGACAAAATGAGTTAACCCCTCACGTCCATTTAATGCCAAGGTTAAGACTGGTTAGAGCTTTTATCTCCACACCACCATATATATTCCTGGAATGGTGCTAAATCATATTTATGCCAACACATTTTGAGATCTATGTATGGAATGTGCCTTTTTGTGTTTGAAACAGCAAATGTAGTGGAGTCACATGTATTTGAGGTTATATATTTAAATATCAAGTAAAAGAAATTCATGCTGGTGAAAATTATAGAAGAAGATGGATCACTAAGTTATATAATTATTAAATTACAATTTATGCTAGGTTATACAGAGTTTTTTTTTAACTTTGTTGATCGGTTCATGGCCCTACCCTTCATGGCAAGTGGTGTGTCTCTTGCTGTGAATTTTTCCTGATTAATCAGCATGCCTGATGGCATGACTGAAGGGAAGTAATTATTCTGTGGACAGCATGTCAGCATTATGTTTCACAGCAAGCAGTGTGCTTTATTCATGGGAGTTTGTTTATGATTTGTCAGCAGTAGACAGCAGTTATCAGCTCCATTAGCCATTTGTTCTCAGTTAACAGTTAGTGAGCAGTGTGGTGTGTCATGGTTGTGCCATACTTTAGAGGAATACGTATTTCTGTATGACACCTGTGTGAAGTACAGATCTACTAGAAAGTGTCAGTGAAGATTTTGGTGTAAATTTCATGATGAAAGAGTTCCCAGCAGACAAAAAATTCACAATATGGTGAATAAGTTTAGAACAATTCGGTTTTTAATAGACAAGAAACAAAATCATAAGTGTCGAGTGCTTCCTGAGCAGAAGTTAGATGAGATTGGGACCAGACTTGAACATACACCTAGAAAATAAGTGAAATGTTAATTGACAAAGAAATGTTCAGGTCATTCTCGGGCAGTTCTTTCCAGAGTTAAGAGAAGAAGAGACTCTCTATGGCTAATTTCAGCAAGAGTCAGCTGCTGCCCACACTGCATGTATGTCAGTGCAGACTTTGTTTGATGTCTTCGGAGACAGAATTATCAGCAGTGGTATCTGGCGTTTTTTGTTCAATGTTTTCGGGGATAGAATTATCAGCAGTATATTTGGCAAGCACATTCACACGATCTGAACTCTTGTGATTTTTTCTTCTTGGGTTGTTTGAAGGACAAATTTTATAACAGTAACCACCAAATGGAAGAATAACTAAAAGAAAATATTCATAGGGAAATTGCAAATATTCCTGCAGAACAACTTCAAAAGGTAAATCAGAACCTCTGATGTGAGGAATGTCAAGATATAGATGGACAGAATTTCAACACCTCCGGTGATCTGTGAACAAAGGAAATAACTTCGTTTCATTCCGAACATTATCAGCCTTCAGGCATCCTGATTCATCAGCAAAATTCATGTGAGCATCTCAGCAAGTAGTGCACCGGCTGCTGTGAAGTGCAGAGCCATGGAACCAGTCAACAAAGTGAAAGTCCTCCCTGTATATACATGTGGGAGCATTTCAAGAGAAATAGGAATCATAACCTTTTATAGAGCTTCTTGTTGCTTTGTGATACAGTGATCCTGTCAGCCTTTATTGGTTGTGGGTTGCACTATTATAATGGCACATGCACACAGTTCAGCTAGCCAATTGTTTTATTTTTTCAGTACTCATTCTGTTACACCCAAGTTAACATCTGCTTGCCATCATTGTAAGGGGGGGGGGATTTAGAATTCCACGTTCCCAGGTGGTAAGGTGTGTCCCAGTTTAAGACAAGGGTTCAGTGAAAACTGGGTGTAATGATGTTTCTAAAAGTAATTTATGATTTGTTTTTGTTTATAGGCACTGTTATATTTAATCTATCTGCTGGATCCTTTGGTGAAGAGTGACTATGTAATAGCATACTTCCACACATTAACAACCAATGCAAATCATCCATCCTTCACATGGCTGCGAGAAGTCTATAATATTCTGCCATACAAGTGAGTACATATTATAATCTAATGAATAAAAGCAAAATTTCCTGGATCCAATTTTAAGTACAGGGATGATTTTTACTCTCCTGGTTAGAGATTACATTCACATTGCCTTAATCCAGTGTTCTCCATGTGTTTCACTAATGTAATACATTTGTAATGTACATGAGATCAAGGAGTAAATGCTTACAAGGAGAAAGTTGACTAGTTCTAGTCAAAGAAACTGACTACAAGTGGCATGGAATGTATTGTGAACTTTTCAGAAATTATACTTTGTCCAGACTTTCCAATGTATATTTATGTTAATTTATCACTTTTTCATATTTATATATGTATTCTCTACTGCAGTATAGATGTTTATTTTCCATAAACTTTTTCTATGACAGGGCACTGAAGACAGTGTTTGGATAATCCTTGTAGTTGGGTTCATTCTGTGGTAAATTCTCATGATGGAAATTATGAAGATAGAAAGTACTGTTCACATCTTGAGTAGTTCAAAGTGGTGTTTTATTTTTGTTCAGTCAGTCCTTGATATGGCTCATAGCTTTGAAGATTGCCCAATAATGGCTGTTACCTTTGATCTTCCTGTGAGGGCAGATATTGAAGGTCATCAAATTATTCTTTAGACATTAATTTTTATTCATAGTCTGTCCTTTCAACACTGAGAAGGCAGTGTGATTTAAATAAATATGTGTCTTATTTTGAAGGTATTTCTTTGTGTATATAATTATTTATGCTGATAGAAGTGCTTGCTTTGTTACATATGGCTTCCTCCCTTTCCTTCTGAGCAGTTTTAGCTTGGCAGTATACAGTCAGTTTCTAATACGTGGCTATTCGGTTTTTATTTTGATGAGGGTTGGTAGTCTGATTTTTTGTTTTCCTTAATCTCTTCAGGTGTTTGTAAGGGCAGCAACTTGAAACAGTTATACTATCAATTTCTTACAACAGATTTCAGTTTTCATATGCAGGCTTGTGGCATGGGAGCTACACTAGAACCACGTTCGGAATTTTTGTATGGTAATAGGTCTTCAAAACATATGGAACTTTTATGAAGGAAATTTTATATAGAATGTAACAAAACAGTGAGGCTGCCTGGCAAAAATTTTCTTCAGCTTTGAGATTGATGACTAATGAACCACTGGAGCCAGGCTTATGAAATTTAGTTCAGAGATAAGTCATAAACATGTCTACCCATTAGAAATGTTTTTAAGTAAGTAATTACAAACTTGGCGACAGTACTGATTTTTAGGGTTTTATCTGACAAATTTAATACTGACAGAAGCTGCATGTAAGTAATAAGGTCCTAATAACAACAACAATGATGATGATAGCAGCCCTACAGCTTGTAATGTATGTAGTAGGAAAGCAAGTTTTATGCGTTTTTTTAGAATGAGGCCGCATGAAAGTACTGATGACATGTATCTTTATACATACCAGTTTACATTTTGAACCGGTTGAGCATGAACAAAAATGAATAACAAAACAGAATTACAATTCTACATTCAAATGTTCACTTATTTGTGCTGGGATACCTAAGTTATTTTTTACTTTAATCTTCATGAACATATTACTCAAGGTTGAATGAAGTAAGTACTGACTGACATATGGTAATTTGTGCACAATATATATTCCAAGTTATTTGTGGCACAATAGTGCAGTTTGATTTTAGAGTAAAAGAGAGATGTTGGAACTTTATGCTCTTGTTTCTATTGTAGGTTTAATGATACTTCTTTAATTGTTGCAGATACAAGAAGAATCTCAAAGCTTTCTATATTGTTCACCCAACATTCTGGACAAAGGTATTTGTATAACTATATAAACATCTACAAATTTATGTTTCTTTTGTGCACAGAGTGTAATCATTAGTATCACCACCATGACAAGCACCACCACTCTCATAATTGTGATTGTCAATGACTTTCAGAGTTTAGATTCTTAATATTTTTAATTTACATTTCATATTGAATCTTAATCCATCTGGTTTTCACAAATTACTTTCCTGAAAAATAGAGACATACATGATAATTGTTTTAAGTTGTGGTTGATAAGTGCTGCAATAATGGATCTAAGGTTCTTTATTTCATGTTTGATGGCCACAGTTCCAGATGATGCAAAATGATCTGTAATATGAAATCATGACAGTTGCATATTAATGTTAAAGCAGAATTTATTATTTTAACTGAATGTAATTTAAATATTATAACATAATTTCTGAAAATTTTAGAACTAATTTTTAGTATTTATTACCAGACCCAATCAAATGCTAATGTCCGTACTATTCACTCCTCTTCTCAGCAAGTAACTCTGTAATGAAGATCATATAATGCAGATGACATTGATTCAGAATTCGTACCTTTTGGCACAAGAGCTTCACATTTACAAGGATTCACTGTATATTCTTACCCATGAATTTGCTATTCCACTTAGTACGAAAGTTGCGTATGCAGTTAGGTTTGACATGCTCACAGTGGTGTCTGTTAAGAATACTGTCTTCTTGAATGTGACGTCATGTAGTCTGGTAGAGATTTACAAAGTTATCAGCGGAACATACTGCATCCATCTTCACGGTTGAAGAGTAAGCCGTGCAGGCAGTGAAGCAAAGATGGCAGCAGCAGTAAGTTCTTCTGAAGTGTTGATAAAATTCTAACAGGCTACTTGGCAGGTTTATTATGACAACTTAAAAAAATATGCAGTCTTTAATTGAGAGCCTATGATGAGTTTCATATTGCTTTGTTTGGTTCTGATGAATGCACATTCTGTTTTATGAATATTTCTTTCAGAAATTCTGATACTTCATTATACCAACCCATTCAAGACACTTTTTATTTTTGTTATGAATCTCGTTTCCTTATTTCTCTATATTTCAAGAACTACTTTGATTATTTTGTGTGATAAATGCATAACTTGGAAATAATTATTGACTTTCACACAATCCCACCCCATAATACAGGGTGAATTGTATAGAACCGGCCTGATGAATTTGCTAATAATTCCGCAGGTGATGCATATAACTGCTCACAATTAGACATAATAATCCATGGGCCGTGCTGAGTCGAATGGTGTGCGCATCATCCGGCAAGTGGCAGCCCTTATGCTGCAAGGTCAAGGACAATCCTGAAATATGTCTGCAGTGCGCAGGCGACAGTCATGGAGTACACTGTTGAACAGTGAGTGTTTCTTGTATGTACGTACTGGGTGACAGGCTCGATTGCAAGCACACAATTGGAATTCAGGAGGAAGTTTGGAGTTCGCAAGAAGCCAGCGAAATCAACTATAGAGTCCTTGGCTCAGAAATTGGAAAGGACAGGAACACTTTTAAGTGAATGTGGTAAAAACCCAGAAATGCCAGAAGAAACGATTGCAATTGTGCGGGACAGGTTACTGCAGTCTCCCAAGAAATCATTACGACGTCTAAGCCAGGAAACCGGGTATTCTTATTCAACGTGTCAACGGGCTCCAAAGAAAGTGAATCTTCATCCCTACAAGATCACCAGTGTTCAGGAATTGGGTGATGTTGATAAAGATAAATGGGTACAGTACTGTTTATGGTTTCAGGAATTCGTGCACGATAACCCCAGAATTTTGGATATCACTTGGTTTAGTGATGAAGCATGGTTCCACCTATCAGGATATGTAAACGCACAAAATTCCAGGATCTGGGCATCTGAAAACCCACATGAGATTGCTGAATCACCACTACACCCACAAAAAATGGGTGTGTGGTGCGCCATTTCTGGTTTACGAATCATTGGACCGATCTTCTTCGACACGACTGTGGACAGCACCTTATACTGCCATATTTTTTATGATTTCGTGCAGCAGCTGGATGATGTGGAACTTACACAGGGTTATTTTCAGCAGGATTCAGCAGTGTGCCACATGTCCAACATGTCGATGGAACTGATTGAGAGCTTCTTCCCCAATCACGTCATCTCTAAAAAGATGTGGCCCCCAAAATCCCCCAACCTTACAAGCCTGGATTTTTTTCTCTGGCGTTTACTGAAGGACAGGGTGTATGCAAACAAACCGCATACATTACAGGATTTAAAGGACAACATTTCGGCTGAAATCAGGATTATCACTAAAGAAACACTGCAGCAAGTCACAGCGAATATGCAAACGAGGGTGGAGGCGCGCCTACTTGAAAACGGTGGACACTTTCAACACCTGCTCTGATCACGGCACACAATTCAAGATAAGATATGTGTAAACTACTTTTAATATCTGTATGGTATATTTTATATTACAGCTCATTTCGTCAGGCCCGTTCTATATGAATCACCCTGTACCATTCAACCAGGTGTGTTAATTTACGTAAAACTGTAAACTTTTACGCAACATGCAGATAGTGTATAAATCATAAATTCTTTAAGTGTATAGGTTCTGCATTTTACACAAAATACAGCTCTGTTTTATTTCAAACTTGAACAGTTGTATTGTAACATTAGTTATGTTTGGAACAGTTATTTTCAGTTTCTCAGTAGTCACTTAAGATCTTGTTGCACTGTTTCACCACACACACAAATGCTGCACAGAGCTTGAAGCCCACGATCAGATGCAGCTCAACTATTGCTTCCATTAGACTGGCTGACTTATGAACTCCACACACTTTTGTCCAGGCAAGGTCATTCGCAAATGTGCTTCCAGGATCATTGCTAACCACGGTCTCCTTAGTTTCCAGAATCATCAAGAAGGAGGAGGAGGCCTCGATGATTCTCAAAAGGAGTGGCACATGCAAACACTCCTACCTCTGACTCACTTAATAGTATTATTAATTCCTTTTATAGAATGCCAAGGACCCTGAGAGCTATACCAGCGGTAGCATAGCTACCGGCAGGGCATCCCTTGCTGGACAGGCCAAAGGGTAGGCATCAGATGAAGAGAGAGACCAAAAACTCAAAACTGATGCCGGAAGCAGCATCATTAGGAGCGACTTGAAGCACAGAGCAAATGATGCTCAAGATGGTTCAAGTTCATATAGCAACAGGCATGACCAGAGTGGTTTGAACGGCTGTTGTACTGCGATGTGGAAAGCAAATGGAAAAAGTACCACATTATCACTTTTCCTGGGAAGTCTCTTTCCAAAAACAGAAGATCGCATTAAGTGGAGGAACTGTTTTGGAAGAGACTGTGGACCTGTCATCTGACAGATTACTGATGAATGAATAGTACACTAGCCATTGTTTATATGTTTCAGTGAGACTGAAACTGGGCAAAGATTCATAATTCTTCCGAAAACACTGTACCATTCAAACACAACCAATTATATGGATTGCATGCACATTCTGTGATGTCACAGAACCATAAATATACTGTCTGGGTCCTGCTTGTTGATCCAAGGTCTAGGAGAACATTGCATGACATATAATTGCCCCATGAGCCTGGAAATGTTAATGGATATATTTGAACTCTGTAAGGTACATTTTAATTTTTCAGATGATGACATGGTGGTTCACAACATTTATGGCTCCAGCCATCAAACAAAAAGTGCACAGCTTGCCTGGGGTTGAGTACCTATACAGTGTAATGTCTCCTGATCAGCTTGAAATTCCAGCTTATATTACTGAGTATGATATGACTGTAAGTGTTTATTATTGCGTATTTTTATTTTCTTTTGCAAAATAGCAAGTACCAGTTAGAACTAGATTCTTAAGAACTGATATTCAGGGAACAGAAAATGCATTTAATGGTAATTTTGCTTGACACATATTTAATATACATCTGCAGTTCAGTGGTGTACTTCCTTATATTCTGTATTGTAATGTGTAATTTGTGTATGAATCTGTATATACATGTTTATTTGTGTAATTTTTGCCCTTTGGCCTGCATATTCTTTTTGCATCCATCTTTTGAAATTAAACAATTGTATTATTTTTCTAATTATAGATTTTATAAATGTAGTAATGCTATTAATACAGTGTAACGTGTCTTGAGTTCGAATCCCGTTGATCACGTGTGTAAGTTCAAATCCCACTTCTGACACCAATGTAACGTGTTTCGTTACTGAAGACGCCGTAGAGATGGTTAATTGGTTTATTCAACAATCTACAAGAAACGGCTACAATTAATTATCACACAGTTGCGGGGTTTCACACTTTATAACCCTAGGCGCATTAATCTGTTAACACTGTTGCGGGGTTTCACGACTTATAACCCTATGCGCAAATCAGTTCACTCTGTCTTCAGTAGTCTACACGTTTACAGTAGGGGAGCTATGTATCACTGTATCACACACTCCCAATTACACAATCACACACACGTTCGGTTCTTCTTTCCGCGACGGCTGCTATACTCCAACTTGTAGTTGGCTGACTGGAGAACTGTTGATAACACGCTCGGCGACTGTTACGTTACAACTCGGAACTGTCTTCGGCGATGGCCAGGTTATAACTCGACTCGGCGTCTGTTGCTATATGTCAACTCGGCTCGGCGACTATTACAGTACAGTTCACTAGGCGCTGTGCAGCTCACTTATATAGCTGCAGTGCTTGCCTGTTGCGTAATGAGTGCCAAGTCACAGTAGGAAGTTGATTACNATGAATCTGTATATACATGTTTATTTGTGTAATTTTTGCCCTTTGGCCTGCATATTCTTTTTGTATCCATCTTTTGAAATTAAACAATTGCATTTTTATTTTTCTAATTATAGATTTTATAAATGTAGTAATGCTATTAATATAGTTAAAATAATTTCTGCAGTGTTATTTTCTTGAAATGTGTGAATTGTGCCCTGTGTCAATAAGTATATATATAATGCAATATATCATTGGCCTTAATGGAGTAATGTTTCATGTTCTGAATCTCTGCTAGGAGAACAGACTTAAGGCTTTTCACCATTTTCACTGCTAATGGCCATTCCTCTGTATCTTGTCAGTAGTATTTATAAACTTTGCAATTGATATACAGCTAAAGCTATCCCCGTAACAGGCCTTGAGGCCCATAGGGTTGTGAGATGTCAAGCCTTCCAAATTTTCTAGACAGTTGACTCACAGGTGGTGGTGAGGTTGTCAGCCTTATGCTCTGGCTGCCTTTTAGCCCCCCAAGAAGATTCCTGGTATTCATTTCTGTTAGAGGCTAAGTCGACCCCAGGGCCATACTGTGGCTGGCAAGATTAATATAGCATAATTAAATAAGCTGTTAAGAACTATAAACATCCTCAATGATGTGTTGATGTGTACTGAAGAACATAGAATAACTTGTAATATAAAGCAAATTTAATGTAGTTTATGCATGCAGATTTGAAAACTAGATTCTTATTAATCTTTTAATGCTGCAGGAAGTATTATAAAAATTACTATATAAGTATGGAGAATTTAAAGGAATTTAAATATCCATCATCTTGTCACGAGTCTGAGTAACTGTAGTTTGGGTTTGGATTGGTAATTGGATTTATTGCACACTTATACATCTCATTACTACACTTCACAAATCACTATCGCACACAGAGTAGTGTTCTCAGTCTGTTACAGCCTCCATTAGCCGTTTCCTGGTAACGGCTTATAATCATTGAGATTCTTCACCTTCTGCCCTCATGTCGTTACTTGCTGAAAAATACTGCCCAACTGAACTCATTTGTGGGAACATCCCACATTATCACGCATTTCTGCAACGCTCGCTCTTCACATCACTTTTCACCATCACGCGCGCTAACCAATCAGATTGCTTCAAACGATCGCATTTATACTACGCTCGGCGATAGCCCGCGTCTACACCATTACGCGCGCTAGCCAATCAATTCTTGCTCCTCANCCATGGGAAATTGTTTGTTTCATGGTCATTACCTAGTAATGGAACATGGCTAATATTGTAGCCTGCCAGACCCTTAGAGAAATGTCAACCCCTAGCAGAGCTGGAGCAGAGCAGAGCAGTACGCAACGCGCAACACGGCTGACTCAGCCTAGGCTGGGGTTGTACAAACCTCTGGTACAAGCGGTTCCGCGTACAGAAAAAATGAGTAACTTCAGCAATTTTTAAAAACTACTTGCAGTGCGTATTAGCAGCTAAAATTTTGACAGTGGATTTTGTTGTGTGTACTCTTGCATTGGGGGGGGGGATCATGGCAGGTTTCGACATGTCGGATCAGACCATTCCCTTGTCAGATTTATGCAAATTAGAGATTTGCTTATATTTGTCATCATTCATATTTTATGGAAGATGACACAAAAAATTAGATGATTAAAAGATGTATAGTTGAGGTTTGTTTTCCTTGCATTTTTTAATGACTTCTATGGATTTGTGGAACCCCAGACTAAAGGACATTGTTTTGTTGGTTTCAGGTGAACGGCTTGCACTACTTTCAGCCTGAATCTACTACTTAAAATGAGTTCTTATACCATAAGGTTCTTAATGCATTTGTTTGTGATGTGAAGAGTGAATATGAATGAAGAGACACATTATGTTGATGTAAATGTAGATAGATAGATAGATAAAAGTTCTACAGTAAGAAGGAAATGTTTTTCCATAGTGACTTAGGGATAATTGGAGCACAGCAGCTGGAATTGACTTGGTGATAATCGCAATTGCTGCTTATTATTGAATAACAGTCCTCTGCTTTTCATGAGTAATGCAGCATATATAAATTTAACAGCTGTTTGACTCAGAGATTACAAGATTTTAACAAGTAATGTAACTAGCTTATCTGGTATGTTCATAATTTACCCTAGTTGTAGAATATTATAAATTGTTACATTAAAGTAAAAAGTTATTTCTTAGGGAAATACTGCCATGACTACGTTGAAGAAACGTTTGAAAGTTATAAATTTGCTATAAGTTCTTGTTGATTAACCAGAGGAGTTATACTGCATAGTTTATAATTAAATTATAACTCTGATAAAGAGAGGCTGCAGTCTTTATGCCAGAGGCCATAAAATGTGATACGTTACAAGAAGTTATTATGACCTGATATATCCTTGGATGAATCCTAAATGTATATAATCCTGCTATGGTTATTTTTTGCATAATTTTCTACAGGCTGACCTTACTTGGACTTTGAGCTACAATTTCGGCACTACTTAAATATACAGAACCTTTTCAATGTTGCATGTAAGGTAATTAAATGCCACTTCTTTAACAGTACAAATGTGCTATTTTCTCACATCTGGGGACATCAGTAGAACTGATGTGTTGTGAAAACCCAAGGAACTTAAAATATTATAGAGGTTACTATGGCATAGGTTGTTGGACCATGATCAATACAAGTATATACATGTTCACCAGTAAATTCTGTTCCCTGACTTCTACTTGGCCATACCTTCACGTTTTATAACTCTATGAGCTTCAAGATATCTAAATGTATTAAAAGAGTAAGTCTAGATGCATAAGAATAATCGCTACACTGATGTTTTGGGAATAATGCATATCCTGAACCTGTTGGAGCAGGAGTGCGTGTTTCACTTTTATAAGTTCATTTCCACTATAATATTATTTGCTGACTTAACATTTTCATAGGCAAAGTTTTACCCCAAGTAACAGGTTGGTTTTCATATTCTTTTTATCAGTGTTTGACATTCTGTATTTTGTGAAAATGTGGTAACCCAGAACAAATATTAGAAGCCTGACATCGAGTTTTTCATAGCAGTTCAATGATTCTTTAATTATTATTAATTTTTTACTGGGATTTTATGTTTGTGAGATGGAAATTTAAACTTCTTGCACTGATTCTCTTCTCAAAAGTAGCAATGAAAGTGTTAACGCAGACTTCCCACGTGCCACTTGCAGCATATTTAAATTATTATTATTTATTAAATAATTTCAGATGTAACTATATTTAATGGATGATAAAATTGTGAAACCTATATGAAAAAACAAATTTCAGAGAATTAATTGGTGTTACATTTGAGGACTATATTGTCAGTTCAGAAGGAATACATAAAGGAAATCTGGATACAATCAGTTCATATGCAGCACTGTTAAAATTATAATAATAGTAAAGGTCCTGGCTAGTATTATGATAATGCTGATTTGAGGCCAAGGCTGAGAATTCTTTCTCCTTAATGTTTAATAGGGAAGTATGTAGTTTTAATTGCAGCATTTCAAAGAAACAGTACTAGGTTGCAGCTGAGTGTCTTTATTGATTTCAGAAGTATTGTTAAGTAGTGTAGCTGTTTAAAAATGCTGAAGTGACTTCTGCTATGACAACAGTTTTTCAGTAATGCTGCAGTTTAAACTGCATTTTATTTTCCTCTGTTATGATGTTAGAATTTTTCAGTGATTCATCTGAGCAATTCTTATTTGATAATGAGGTTAATAAATTTGTTTTAGAATAAATGAAGTATATAAATTTGCCATTGTTATTATTAACATATTATTTTTTTATTAATTATAATGTTGTTGAGGAGGACTGTATAAAAGTGGCAGATCTTCCATCTGTGTTAGATGCTGTGCTGTTTTTAATATTAGGTATAGAAAAATAAAGCCTTCTACATAATGAATTGTCAGCATGTGTTTTGAAGCAAGGAATTTGTAAAACAGAGTAGCATATTGGGATGGTATACACCAATTTAATTGAAAGTTTGTATAATAGTATGAGTAAAAGTTTTGTAAATTTTATAGTAGGTTGTGTAGTTTTAACATTTTTAAAGTAAAACATGGTACAGCTACTATTTCATAATAAGAATTGCTCCCATCACAAATATTGAAGAAGATAAACTACATTTTAAAATATATTGATTAGCAGTACATTGAACTTTTCATGTGCCTGTAACAGACTTGTCAGTACATCATTTTGTTTTTTGTACCAAAAATTAGGACATTTAGAAAAATGTAGTTTACACTCACACATTTGTGTTGACATGCATGAAATGGAAGAAGTGAGTTGTTTTTATTGCGTTACCACATAAAACCGGATACACATTATGTAAATTCACGTTACATTGCCTTTTTATGTGTCAAAGGAGGGTCAAATGAACATATAATAATAAGTAATAGCATTTTCAAAAGACTGTATATCATTCATAGCAGTAACTTCACAAATTTACAGTAAAATAACTGGCTGTTTAAGGTGCATTACTATCTTATGTTTATTCTTGTACACTGTATCAAAATTATAATGCAGTTGGTTTGGTACCAGCTGAACCTGTTTCTGAATAGTTGCATTGTTTAAGTGTTCATATTGAGAAGTTTTATCCACATAGGGAATTCTGTATCTACTGTTAAAATATGGTTAGAAACATATTAATATATCTAGATGAATTGTGTTACATTTTAAATAATTTATGGGGCAGAACTGACAAAAGATAAAATGTAGATTTGTTGCTGTAAAATGGAAAAGCTGGTTTGTAGAGACTACAGTTCTGCAAGATATTTGAATGATGGACAAGATAACTTAGTGAAGGTATTCTTTTCTGGCTATTCACTCTCCTCAGAACAGTATAGTGCTTTTTAAAAATATTTATAACTACAGAATTTGTTTCTCAGGTTCTTGTTAGGTATGTGTAGATTTATTATATATATATATATATGAAAAGATAATCTATAATTGTTTTCCCCTTTTGATTTATTTTTGCTAATTTTTATAGTAATTTACTCTTTTTCCAACAATAGCAACCCAAGATCATAATTTTCAGATCCCATCACTTTGATTATGCAATACACAATTTTAATTCTTGTACATATAAAATGAAGATTTACATTATAAATTATGCTCCCTGAGCACATAAACACACAGTAGAATTCAAAATAAGGATCTAGGTAGGGTACTTTTCAGAATAATATTTTGTAAAATTCATTGTGTGAAAACAACTATGAATTCTTATTTTCTTGCAGAGATCTCGAGCTGGAACTGTAGTTGATGATCAAAGGAGAAAATCTGGCCCCTATGTAAATGACAATTTTTAAGCTGTCAGTTCTCTCTCTCTCTGTAAGTGTGAGACTGCATGTGTGTGTGTCTTTGCTTGCATACGCACTTGTGCATGTAGGGGTGGGGTACATGTTTTCCAGCAAGTGTTTTCTGACAATATGTGCTATATACTTCTTGTACTGTTTACATTTAGCTACAGTAAGTTACATATTTAGGAACACACATGAACACCAGATTTGTTGTGTTTAATAATTATGCTGCATTAATATGTTGTGATCATTCACTGCAGGTATAATACACCACATTCTGAACTTCATAATAGTGTTGTGGGTACAGACCATAAATTATGTATAATTGAAACTTCCAGTAAGTTGATCTGCAAAACAAACAGGAAATATAGAAAGCTTGAATTACTGAATGAATCAACAACTGTTAAAATGAATATAGTTTTGATTTTGGCTCATGTAGTTTTATTAAAATTAAACACTTATAATGTTTTTGAATGTATACTGTGGCAATGCATACATGCTTCTCTTCATTATACCATGATATAATATATTGTAAATTCTATATGCTACACATTGACTAGTATTTTGTGTTTCTTCTTCATTTTCTTCTTCATTTGATCCATTAGGCAATCTGGCTTGTTCCTATTTCAGACTTAATTTGAGAACTACAAATTTTACAGCGAGTTGACAGACTCTTTGGACAGGAGATCAGCCAATTGAAAGACCTCTACCACAGAGGACAGCACAGACACAGAAAGAACACAGACATACATCCATGCTTCAAATGGAATTTGAACCCATGATTCTAGTGTTTGAGTGGGCAGAGACATTTTGTACCTTAGGCTACACAGCCACTGATCAGTGTATCTTGTAGTTATATATCATCTTTACAGTTTCAATATAACTCAGTAAAGGTAAAGTAAATATTGCAGTGGTGCCATGTTACACACTGTAAATAATGTAGAACAAGGATTTCCAAGCAGATCTCATACATCCTATTTTGCTATTATATAAATTTCTAGTCCCACTGATTTGTTACTGCTGTTATTGTTTTTATATTGTTATTATCATGTGAGCTCAGCATATAAATAAATAAACAATTGAATCATCATCATTATTTAAGTACACCATTGCCATTTGTTGTTGATGACTTGCAAACAATATTTTGTATATCTTACTTTGTATTCTACTTCTTGCTGTCTATGTTCAGCTTCAGTTAATATTCACTTATCTTCATATCTTTATTGCATACCACTGTATGTTTTGGCCTAGCTCACCATCAGCAGGTGTATAAGTTGCTATGATGAAGGAATCTGATGCTTTTTTATAATGTTTGCTTTTTTTTTGTGCATGCCTCGGAATATTCTAGGTTATGTGGATTATCGTACTGTTGCTATGAACGTGTTTCGTTTACAAACTTTTTAGCAAAGCAGCAGATTCCTTCATCACAATAACCTATACACCTGATGATAGCCAGTTTGGCTGGTAGTGGTATACAATAAAGAGACGAGATGAGTGAATATTAACCAAAGTTGCATATAGATAACGAGAAATGGAACACAAAGTCAGATCTATACAGTGCAACAGGATGCTGCAGTATAATACTATTTTGTATATAATGTTTAGGTATGATCGTCTGCATACTGAATTTTGCATTCTTTAGTCATCATCATCAAACTGAAAGCTAAAAAATTTTTAATGGCCTGCAGTTTTGCTATTTTATGTTTTACAGACAGTTATCTTGAGAAAAGTTTAATATTTTTCAAAGATTTATTATAATACATCACTTCAGGACCCTAACTTAAGTGTTATTCTCACCGCACAAGTTCATATGTCCACCATGTTGTTATCAATGATTATAGAAATTAAAAAGTATGTAAGTACATGTATGTTATGGTGGCCTCCATATTTTGTGACAGTGACTCAACTGGACAGCATGGTGAAATTACCCCCCCCCCAAGAAAAAAACAACAAACAAAATGAAGCTGAAAAGCACTTCAGGATTTGATTCCACTCATGGTCTCTTCTCAGTTGGTAAATAAATTTCCGTGCAGCAACAATGCAGTTTTCAGGCTCTGTTTTCTAGTACTTAGCAGCATGGTGGTACTATCACAAAAATAGTTGCGTGTTCTTGCAGAATTAGCCCCCTTTTTTCATGTTAACTTAAGTATAGGTGTTCACCCTAGTACCACGGGTCACTCTGTATTCTAAAAGCATTATTTTCTTGTGTCTGTGCAGTTTTTCTTCAGATTTTTACAACATACACAATAAATCCAGAAATCTGCCCATTTCTTATAATGAAACGATATATAACATTGATTATTGTAATATATTGATCCATTTATGCATTAATGTATCTGGTGTACAGAGGACAAAACGTGTGTTAGATATTACATGTTACGTGTAATTATTCAAGATGCCTAAAAAATAGCCAAATTCGGATCTGTTCCCACTTCAGGGACTTATTCCAGATTCAAATCTTTATAACAGAAAACTTTAAGTAAGTGTTAACATCCTTTTTAATCACTCTTTGTACAAGAATACATCTTGCTGTTGCATAAAACAGTTGGTGAAATACATTAGAACTGTGTTAACATTGCATTTGGGGAAACCACTGAATAATAAAATTTTTGCATTCTGTGGTTTCTTAAGACTGAGTACATATATGCGAATGCTACACCAAATATGAAGAAATGCAGTGAAAATTCATATAATAACTGGATGAATTATACAGTTATTTATAGTCTCCACAACTTCCCATAAATTTACTGATAATGTGGTTATATATCATTTTACAATTATGAGGTATAGAAGTGTGATGTTGGATATTTATGATATTGATGTTATTTTAATACACTTATGAAATGATGAATCTATAGTTATTAATACGATACATGTATGGAATTGTGTCTGTGTCCTGTAGCCTTTTGTAATACAGATTTCTTCATTATCGGTAATCTCACATTATTATTACTTTGGCCGTATTCTTGATTAAACACCAATTTTAAGATGGCTGTTACCTTTGTTCGAAGAGGACAACTGTTTAGTGCAAGGCGCACCACCTTGGCCAAGTGTGTTTTGCAGAGAAATTGTTATCATATGCATGCAGGCACCTTGGTGCCCTCAGAAAGGATTTTGAGTGCCTGCAGGAATTTTAGATATATTAATAATACTTCTGTACTTAATCAGTGCTGATTGCAAAGTATGTGATACCCACTGTATGAACCAAATGTCTGTCTGTCTAGTGCTGAGGAGTTCTAAATATTTGGGTTGTGTGTACGTGTCTCGTTAATCAAGGGATTCAGGTGTAAGTAATGGTGAGTGTAATTTTCTAAGGAAGTGAATTATTCATTAGGTATTTCTTTTTGTAGGGCAGTGTGTGCTAAAGCAATGTTCTGGAAAATGTTTTGATGTGAGAACACCAAGATCCAAAACTGTTTCATCCAGTTATTTAAATTTATATCTGCTTTCTTCAGTAGATTAATATGGTGCCCACTATAAATTACAAAATTCCCCTAGTTGCCTATCATCATAAATGGTTATGGACCTACAGTGTAGTGGGTCAGTTCACAGTTAGTGAGCTATATGTAATGGCTGATTTACTCTGTATATAAATTCAGTGATATTTATCTCATGAAAATAACTTACCAATTTTGTAGCAAGTGCTTGACCTTCTTCAAGCTGAAGAACAATTTTGTGTCTGTAAGATGAGTTTTTATGTACCCTTCAACTACATTGTTTGAACACAGAGACACGAACATTTGTTTTGGTGAATGGTCCAGCAATTCTTATTGCAGGGTCAGTAGCCGAACACCAGTTTTAATGCCAGTTTCACGTTTCTACAGAGTGTTTTTGCTTAACATCTGTAAACTGCATTGATTATTGATGATTTTTGAATTTTTGTCATAAATGCCCATTGAGTGCATTACACATAATTTGTGTTGTCTGTTGTAATGTCACTTTCCGAAAAGTTCTAAATTGAATGGCAGGACAGAATTTGCAGTCTATTGATGGAATTACATATAAACAATTCCAAGTCTCAATCTCAGGTTAGCTGTTTCACTATTTTAAACAATGTTATTACTTAATGTGAAATACTTTTAAAGATGAGAAAAAGGACTGTACTGTAGCTTGAAACAGTTTGTCATTCTGGCACGAAAGCTATTAATCTCTTCATGTTGCACCATTTAGATTTATGATTTTTGAACATTGACACCGAGTACTATCAGAACCTAGACTAGTCCTTGCCATTTAAGAAAGAATCTGTTATGTATGATATGATTGTAACCTTTAATGGCAACAGTATGCTGAAGTCTTCTCAGGCAGTTAGCCATGTCAGTATGGAGCTAATGTTTGACATTTCAGAGACTGTCTCTATCTCCATCACAGATCAACTTCTGATGACTGAGCTGGAGACAGTCTCAGGAATGTCAGACACCATCTCCACAATGACATGGCTCATCCCCTCAGAAGTCTTGATTGAATATTTACATTCATTTTATTAGTACTTTATGGAGAGAACTGCATAACAGCTGTCTGCATCAGAAGCAGAAAATCGTTTCAATTAGTCCATTTGGATGCCACGTTTCTTTCACCACAAAATGCAGCTATGAATTACATATTGTTTTCAAGTGACTCAGTGATTTTACACAGATAATAGGGCAAAGAAATATTCATGTACACTTTAAATTGTGAGCTGGTAAATATAAGAGACATTGTTTAAATGGCTGTTGATGGAGATATCAGTTTTATTGAAACTCTTAAACTCTTAGTTTGCTGCTTAAGAGTATGACTGATATGTAGCAAATAGTTACTTGTCTACCTTCACATAGAGACAATCACTTTTGTGAATTGTACAGATAATAAAACACAGTATTTTGATGTACCATAATTGTGTAGAGTATTAATTTTAATGTGTACAAATTTGTAAAGTGTTGAACTGGGACTGTTAACAGCACTGAGTTTTGTTATTCCTCATTCACTGCCTCTGTCTACCTTCCCTGTTATACCTGGCAAATTCACAATAATTCATATGCTCAACAAAAGAAAGTATTGTTCAGAGTACAGATCAGTACTGAGATTCAACAGGAATGTGTTCCTGGAAACAGTTGAATATCAGAGTCACATGTTGAATATTGTTTTCCCATAGAATCCATGTTATTATTGTTAACTGGGGGATGCATTTGTGCCATATAAAAATCAAGTAACCATACTAAAATTTTAGCACAATAATATTATATGATTGTAACAAATAAATTACTCAGTATAAAAGCAAAAATGTAATTACAGATATTTTTACACCTCTTAAAATTTTGAACTGCAGTTACTGAACTTGGTATATTAATTGAACAGTTTGAAAAGAAGAGCTACTGACTGGGAAATTAAACTGATCTTTGTTACAGATGTTGAAGCTCCTTCTGATGGTTGTTGTCTGTCATCCTCCCTAAAGAATTCACTAAGTTTCAGTTGAACTGCAGTCTTCATCTCTTAAAAAGTGTTTCCATTTCAACTGTCACAACACCGTTTCACATATGCTGGTGTTACTCTTATTCAATGATTGCTCTGTAACATCATAGCCTTTTTCTTTCTGAACACACTGTAGCATTTATAATTTCATTTTGCAATGGAGAGTTACATATATGTGCTCTTGTGTTTAGTTAGCTTGTATTATTACTGTCACCTTTCCACTTGCCATGTCAACATAAGATTCTAATAAAAATAAACAAGTTAAGTGAGTGAAATCAGCACTGAGTATCAAATAAAAATGGTGGACTGGAACTAATGATCACATGACTGGGAATCAATCAATCAATTGTGCTGAGGATCCATATTTGGAGATTCAAACCTCCAAATATAGAACAAGTCAATTACTGCATATTAAAATAACATACTTATCATACGTGAGTCAACAATACTACGAAACTTAATTACATACAGATTTTGTAGACATCAATCATACAATACATCATCCCACTTTCAACTACCAAATGAAACCCAATATCCAACATTTTCTTTCATAGATTAAGCGAGGACAAGATATTTGTCATAACATAAAACCATAANCATGAAACATTTTCTTTTATAGATTAAGCGAGGACAAGATATTTGTCATA